TTTCCCTTTGGCCTGTCAGCAAAAAAAGGGCTTACAGTTTTGGAGAGCCAGCAGACATACAAAAAACTAGAAGACGGTTCCAAGACGATACCTTTTATTAGACCAACTTTCCCAGTTGGTCTAATATTAGGAACCAGTATTTGAACTCTCGGTTCCAACTTTTGGAGCCAAGAGTTTTAATAGTAGACCAACTGGGAAAGCTGGTCTAATGAAAGGTATCCTTTTGGAACCAAGAGTCCTAGTTTTTGGTATGTCTTCTCGTCTCAGTCCAACATGGCTACCAAGTACACCCTGGAGAGCCAGCAGGGCATTTCTATGCAGTCTTCTCTTTCAGCTTTCAAGTCATCCATGCAAATCAGAAAAAAAGGTTTCTAATTCCTTCACCTAATGTGTCCTGATTGTCTTGCTTTCCCCAAACTTTCTTTCTTTGGGGTGACCAGGAGTTTGAAGTACATTAGCAATGAGGGATCAACGAGATGAACTACCCTCTGTAGGGGCGCGTATAGTTTCTGGTTTCATAATATACCAGGTGGAATGGACTGCCTTTTACATATATTTCTCATTCTCATTAATTAGAAACTTAAAAACAACATCTTTCTTCACTGGTTTTTATTCCCCACATGGTGAAAGCTGGTTTCTTTCTCTTGTCTTTCTTAAGATGTTTAAAATTAAAATGTCCTTTTTTACAAGCTTTTTTTTTTGTACACCAGCATTAATTAATGAAGGGGACACAACTTTGGAATAACACTGACTATTTAATAGGCGCGAGAGCACTGGAGCATAAAATATTTGTACGGGTCCGGCAGAAATATTGACTCTAAAAAAATTGGTGTGTCTGCCTGGACATAGATTTTTAATGCTAGCATTGTGGTACTCTCTATATGCTAATTTCTTAACAAAAGGCAAATTATGTCTTAATTAATACACTGTATTATTTATAGATAACACAAAAATGTAATCCTGGCTTTAAATGAAATTCTGAATGCAGCCTTAAGTATGCAGTCATAACCAATGTCTCCATGGTAACGCATACATTGACTCCAGAGATTAATTGAAGATGATCACATATACCGATAGGTCCAGTTGTCTACAAAAAGACACTTGGCAACTCTAATACCGAACTCATCGCAACAGGCAATCATCATAGTCAAGCATCACGCATTGCTTTGTAGTTGCCAGGTAAATACAAAATTATATGGCTGCTTCCTTTCTTTGTCACACAAAATAAACAGCTATGGCACTTTATGGGTTTGCTGTGTAAATGGAGAAGGATCCTTTTGTGACTCTTACCTTTGGCACTTCAATATCAGTCCAGGTGATGTTAGGTACAGAGGTTAAAGGTTGAATGAGTGTTGCAGGGAAGAAGAGGTTATAGTGTCCGGTGGCAGCCACATATAAAGTCAGGGCAAAGTTGAAAGGCAAGGTGAAAACAGGAACATCCCACTTGCTGAAGACTGAGCCTAAAGCACTGGTGAAAATGGGGCTGAAAGAGAAAGACAAATGATCTTACTACAAGTTGGTGAGATGAATGCCTCGGATCGCGGGGACTGGAAAAACTATCTATGATTGTGACAGAATAATATATGGCTGTAGGAAATATATGGTCTTCATCGCCTCTGCTTTTTGTTAAGAATTGCTTTCATTCCAGAAGTTCTTCCAATAACATTGGGTTTATTTTTGGGCACCTTGCAATTCCTACACGCCTACTGATACACTGCAGCCAGCAAAATCCAGAGTTCATTTAGGATAATTCTATACAATGACCTTTACCTATCAGAGGATTTTGATTATCCTAAATATATTCCAGACTCGATTTAAGCTGGTGTGAACTGGGGAAAAGCTCCATTGGTTTGTTCAGATCCTTTCAATTTACATTTGCTGAGGACTGGCCCTGAATTTATTAGTGCTAGAGCCATGCTATAGCCATGTCCAAGTGAACTGTAGGAAAACGTGTATCCTCATTTCAGTTTATACACAAGGCTCATCTAAATGCAGAAAGGCAAAGATATGTGCATTGCAGCAGCACAGCTGGTTATACCTCTGCGCACACATCTCAGGCAAACAACAGATACTGAATTTTTGATAACTCCAGCAAAGTATTCTAGGTTCAAATAACTGATTCCTCAAATTCTAGTTGTCTGGCAACTTGCCTTGATCACCTTGTCTGCTGGGCAAGCAAAATATCATTAGCTGTTTAGTTTTCATTAGCATCAATCATGATGCTTTAGGGCAGTTGAGCATGGTTTTTTTTAATTGCCTGTAGTAGTAATTATTTGTGACACTTTTATAAGCTTGCTTCTAGCGCCCATTTATCAAAGTAAAATAATACAGAAATGAAACAATTGTGCTTTATGATGGTAGGGAACAGTGAAAGTAATGTTTCTGCTCACAGTAAAAGGAGTCCTTGAAATACAGCCATATGGCTAATAGCTGAGACTTGAACACGAATTTGATGTGCTAAATTGTAAATTTATTTTAAAAAGGATTATTTTAAGCTTTAATAAGGATAAACAGTGAGGAAAAAAAAGTATTGACTTAAAAGTAAATACCTATCTATTATGATTTTATTAGTTTAAGACAGGTCGGAAATGTTTTTGGGCAGACTACCAAAAACACCTGCAACTTCAACTTGTAAGATGTTGGTGTGCCAGGGGCGATGGTGGGGGAGCAATGAGGGGCCTGATCCTTGTGGCCATGCAGCCCTGGCCCCTTCCCTGCTCTCTACCCAGAGGCATGCATGCAACCAAAATACCTTTGAGTGCCACACGCTGGCACCCGTGCCCGGGTTGCCTACCCCTGGTTTAAGATCTCCGGCAGAAAAGAGCATAAACATTTTCTGGTTCAAGAACAGGAGGAATGAGAATCCAAGCAAAGAAATGTTTAGGTTTTCACAGAAAACAAAGCCCACGTGTGACTTACCATGTCATGGACATCAGAGCAACAGGGAGAAGAAGCCACCAGTAATAGTCTCCCTTGTCAGAGAAGACAGCCATGAGCAATCCCACCAGGACTCCATTATAGCCGTGCAGGCCTGCTGCTATGGCTGATCTGTGAGGACCAAGACAGTTGCCTTGAAACCTTTCATTGAAAAGCCTATAAATACTTCATGAGCATTGCCCTACCCCTCCATCTGCTTGGACTCTCTGCTCCTTGTGCTGGCAAGTGAATTTGCAGATACCTTGTGTGTCTTGTCAGTAGATTTACACTAATGTAAAACCGGTGGGGGAGGAAGAATCAGGCTCTGCTGGTCTTGGCTGGCAGACCTATACTATGTTCACTTTTGTCTTGGGTTTCAGGTAATGGATTGATCCTTCCTTCTATGATACAGGCTTCTTGGTGACTGTGGGCAAGCTATTTGATTTCTTTAGGATTCAAGCCCTATCTGTGCTGTGGGGATACACTTCTGCCTGTTGCCCATCCTGTTGGCATAGACTGAGCGCTCCTGGGGGTATGGTTGCCTCTCACTTTGAATAGTTTCTAACACAACGGGGCCGTGATGTTGGTTGGAGTTGTAGACACTAGCATCATACAAATGTAGTGAACAGCCTGAGTAGTGATGGATCAGTACAGAGCGGTGAGGTTATTCTCTCTCCCCTTGTTGATGAGAGAGACAGATCGCCAGCAGGGAAGGGTACTCTGGCAATTAGGGAGGACGGGTCAAAGTTTGTCTTGGGAGAAACCCAGCAGGAACCTGTAGCAGGTGCATTGTGGCCACGGCAGACGCTAACAAATACTGCGTCCAGAAAAGGGTCAGCGCTCCCAGCCAGAACCTCAGCCCCAGAAGGGGACAAAAAAATTGATATTAAATAATGACAGCAGCAATCCTTCAGTAGTACTGTGGGGGACCTCCAAGTACAACAAGTTAAACAAGATGTATTGATTAGGTTGGGGAACTCTCACAATGTTCATTCGTTCTTCCTTGAAGTGCCCTGCTAACCCCAATATCAAAAAAAGAAGGCTAAAAATCCAAAAGGCACATAATGTGCAGCCCCCATCCTTAACCCAACACAGGCTCAAATACAATCTGCCCCAAATAATAAATGCACAACCCTTAGGCATGAATACACATGCCCTCTAAACCTCCTTTGCAGCAAAACCAGACAGGTTAACAGCTCTGGACTCTGCCACACTTAGTCCAACAGATCCTCTGCTTAGAGTCAGGACTCCCAGGGCCTGAGGTGTTTAAAGACCGGGGATCTCTCAAATGTATTTAACAGCCCTTGCAGAAGCAGGATGCTGGCTCCCGTTGTCCCTCTGCTGTACCTGTGACATGTTAAGGTGTTATGCCCTGTGGCTATGTGTCAGAGTGAATTGTGTAGTTTTACAAATAGATTAGACAAGGATTTGTATAAGATGGTTTGGATAGGGCTAATCCTGCCCAGGCAGGGGTTTGGACTAGATGACCTCTCAAGGTCCTTTCCAGCCCTCCTTCTCTATCATTCATTGCCCCAGGAAGACTATCCTAGACTCGTGTAGAATAGCAATGATTGTATTTCTCTGGATACTTTAAACCAGATTCTCAGCCATAGTACGATGACACCCTGGGGTGCCCCATCATCTTTTCAAGGGTGCCACGAGATGCCACACAATATTAGCTCCACTAGGTGTGCAAACACGATGCGCAAGATAAACCCACCATTTTCCAAGAGCAATCTGTAGTGTTAAAAGCGTTGTCTGTGTGGTCTTTCTGAGTTCTTTGCAATAGAAGAATGGCTTTATTATTTTTCTGTAGTCAAGAAAGGGGTGAAAACTAAGCCATTTTCTGAGGGGTGCCTCCAGTTTAAAAAGGATGTGGACCGCTAATTTAAGCAAAGACGACACTAGCTCTTGAACACCAGCAAAAGGACAACATTTAAAAGAAATGGATCTTGTTTCTCACTTGTCACAGCACTTCCAATGTGAATCTGAGTTCTGGAGTCCTACCTATCCTGGCTCAGGGTAAGCGCGGTTAAAGTTGAGACAACTGTTCCTAAACAGCCCGTGATTGTCCACCATGGGCTCTGGACCAGGAACCCAGCAATCAGGATCAGTCCACTGAGAGGGTTGTTGACAAACATCACCTGGGATGTCCCGCGCAGGACCCAGTCGATAAACTGAAACACGAGAGGTTTATCTGCAAGAGATCCAGTTAAATGCACATATGAGATGGATCCAGGACGGCTTTTCTTGAAATGCACCAAGAATCTTGGCAGCAAAACGGAGACAATGCATCAACAAGACTGTAAAACCTGACTCAGATTTATTACCGTCTGCACACAGTTTTCCAGCTGGAAAGCTAACTGAGATGAATGGCGTCGTTCCTGGAGTTTCCGGTTATAAAGTACGTGGGGCTGGTTTCATACCAACTAGTTTATTTATGATGCCTGTACCTCAGGTTGCAGATAGCATGAGTACCCCACCCCCGCGGATTGATTGAGGGGGTGAAAACACGCTACATATGTGTAATTTAACTTCAGGCTTGATGTATATCACTCTGCGGAAAGGAGGTGGAAAGTTTTAAGAAACAACCCAACATAGAAATAAATACCTGCTGTCATGCTCGCCAGATGAAATGCACTTCTCTGCAACGGGATGAGCCCAAAGGAGTGCAAATCATCTCACTCCTCCCCTGCTCTCAACCCCTGGGTGCTGTGGTAGCCCTTCGGACAAAGCCGAATTGCAGTGGAGACGTGGATTGGTACAATAATTTCTGTTCTAGTAGGAGCTGAAGAAGATCACCCCCAACGTTATTCATTAACTACCATTGCTTTTTTGGTGTGCTGTAATTGGCTGACATGAAAGGGGGTTACCTCTAAGCCAGTATTCAAACTCCTTCATGTCTCCTGTGACGTAGCCAAGGACTCTGCAGACTCTCTTTCCACCTTTGCTCACTGGATTCTGCTTTGTGGTCTTCCTCGCCCCGTTCGTTTCTATCTTAATGTCGACACTGTCCTCCATGGCAGCTTTCTGACCCTTTGGTGAGATTCAGGAAAGGTAATGATGCATTACATAATGCCCCAAAATGTCCATTATTTATTCTCTCTGCTACATGGTACTAATTGCCCACTGCAGCTGGCAGCTGCTGGAGGGAAAGTGGCCTGTTATGGAAATTTCTGTTTCTTAGGACAACACCAGTATTCAGCATAGTTAGCACAGTGGTTCCCAAATGGTGGCCTACAAACCCCTGGTGGTCCGTAAAGCCATGGTAAGTGAGCCATAGATTGCACGCACCCTTTCTTTTAAGTAAAAGTTGGATGATCAAGTTCATAAGAGGGGTCAATTGATGGGGAGGTCCAATGGTCTCCCATAAAATTACCAACTGCAACACAGGGAAACTGTTATAATAAACACACACACTTCTTGAGATCTGCATGAGAAGATCCTTAGTCTCCCTTTAGCTTCTCTATATGGCTCAGCAATATTTTACTATATTCATAAATTTGAAGGCCAGACAAAATCTTGGGGATCTTCTCCCTTGCCTCACATCAGAATATCAGCCTTTGTTTCTTAGCCCGTTATAACTTGCATTCAGCTTAAACATATTATTTTGCAGAAATCAGTCAATTCATGCTTTCACTTCAACAGGGCTGAGGTTTCAGATGGGAGTTTTTCTATTGACTTCTATGAAGTCAAGATTTAAAGCCTCCCAGACTCCAAGTGTTGGGGACTCCAGCCCATCCTCTGGGAGCTGCCTCATTGATTAGATGGTTTTACTATTAAAAAGAGAGAGAGAGAACAATTCTCATTTCCAGTTCACATTTGTCCAGCTACTTCTTCCAACCATCCAAAAATGACAGTAGGCTCACAACTTCCTCGTCAGTCACTTAAATGAGGGTGAAGTTTACCAGTTCAGATAAGCTTTAAGTGAAAGACTTATATAAAATTTACCATGATTTTAGTAGCCTGATTTCTTCATATACTGAACTGTCATTCAAGAGACTAAAGACCTAATCAAAGATCCCTCATTGGCATCAGTGGGATTTTGCCAATCAGACCCTTATAAGAAGGCAGGACCCTAATGATAGGCATCATTGGCTCGGCCAATTCCCAAACCTTTTAGTTTGCTTCTAGCTGCTTTGAGGGATTGGACCAATCCAGGCTGTGACTGGCATGGTTTAGTCTGGGGTGATCCTGACTTGAGCAGGACGCTGAACTAGATGACCTTGTGAGGTCCCTTCCAGCCCTACTTCCTTATGATCGTATGTGATAGGATGTTCTTGTTATTTCCAATGTGGTTCCTTGTATTTGTGGGTGAAGATTCAAGGTGCTAGTCTTAGGGATTACATTGGTTAATGAGACGATGAATGCAGGGAACTGGAATCAGCGGCCCAGAAAGTCCCCTCCAGTTTTGTGACCCTAATTGCAGAAGTAAAGAAAACTTGGTTGCAGTGAATGGAAATGCAAAGCTGTATCAGTTCTGCCTGGCAGCTTACTGGTTATATAGAAAGCCAAGAGCAGCAGTGCATGCTCAGGCAGTCTGGGTGCGAGTACAGAATTTAAATAAGCCAATTTTATTTTTAAGTCAACTATTGTAGTGATTCCAGGGTCTCTTTGCACTTATCACTAGGCTTTGTGATTGTTGGTAACTTTATGCAGTTGTGGGCACAGAACTCACGCTCTAAAAGTACAAGCCTATCTTACCTAAGCCAGTGGATCTCAACCGAGAGGGGTGCTGTGGTGTGGCCGTGGCTGCCTTGAATCTAACACGATTGAGAAGCACTGACTTAAGCTAAGGGAGAATCTCCCTTGGGTCTCAGCAGTTTAGGGTCTGTGACAGTTAAGTAGTTCTGATCCAGTCTAATGGACTGAGCGGTGACATGAACACTCTGGCCAGTTTATGACTGTATATCTTTGCACGACAGAAATAAAACCCCATGAGATTGCAGAGACATGCACTTTCACTTTGATTGAGTTTTCAAAGCCCCCAAAATATGCCGGTGCAGCTGCTTCACCAAAATGAGTGCATTCAGCATCATTTATTGCAGAAGGGGCTCAATAAATGGAAGCATAAATAATCAAAAAGGAGGAGTGAGCAGGAAAAGGAAGAAAAGGATGATAATAATAAGATCATGCAGTTACTTAATGCTGTAAATATACAGATTTTATGGCTGATTGGTCAATTTTAGTTTGTTTAACCTCGCCACCCTTCATGAGTTTCCTGAGAGTAACTCCTACATTTGATTTGCATTTTTTCATTTTATACCCCTTATCTCAGAAGGGGGCATATTCGATCACGTTTAGTATAAAGTTCAGCAGCGGGATTTTCCATCCGAGATAACTGGTTGAATTTTGAAGCAAACAAGTCTAAATTTGAGCAAACAAATGATTTTCCCCATTAATATTATGCAAACAAACTGGCTACGTCATAAAAACAAGGCAAAGTGTGTTTTGCGTTCATCAGGAAACGCCGTGTGTATTCAGTGCTGGGATTCCTCACATACTTCCTTGCATTCTGATTGAGTAACAATGGACTACTCAGGAGATGTTCGGCAGTGCAGAGTATTAAGTTCACGCTACAAAATGCCCAGGTACCTGGTCAATCAAGTTGTATGATAGAAAACAAAATGGCATATGCTGAAGTCTTTCAATTTAGCAAAGTGACTACTTGACCAAGAGGTGAGGAAGGAATTTAGGCATGGGCGTGCGTCCTAATTAAGCCATAAGGGGAGGTAAGTGCTCTGCTGAATTGGGGCCTGAATGAATAGTGAAACTGAAACATTCCTATTGGTTGCTGTGCAGGCAGATCCTGCACAGTGAAGCGAAGTATTTAAAGCAGCTCCCACCAGCCAACCACAGTTCGCCTCTGTGCCAGGGAATTCTTGCCCCGAGACACAGATTAACGGTGTCGCTTTAATGTTCCCAGCCTCTGTGAGATGCGAAGTCCTAAATCTACGAGAGTGAGAGTTGCTCACTATGTTGATCATCACCAGTTAGTGGATGGCATATTCTGAACCTCTTAAAAAGATGCTCACCTAGCATAAATGACTGTTTTTAAAGGCCGCATTCACTTCTCCATCCCACAAGTCTCAACACAGAGGTCTCTACTGGGTTCACGCTGGACTTCCATGAGCATAACTAACTGCAGAATTTGGGATGGTTCTCAGTCCCAACCAGTAACGCAAAGTTAGAGGAGGCTGTAACTTTGATGTGGAAGTGCCCTTTCCCCTCCCTGCTGCCTTGGGTGCCAGCCCCAGTGGAAGGCTGCCTTAAAATTTTGCATACCTGTGCTTCTTGTAAAATATGAATTTTTCATTTCTACCTAGCAGAACTTTTACAATCTCTGCTCTCACCTATGCCTGATAAAGGGTGAGCGTGCCCCAAAGCTTGCAAATAAATAAAATAAATTTGTTTGCAAATATCTCGTTGGCCTAATAACAGATATCACCTCTTCCATGAGTTTTGATTCCTTTTTCCTGTGCTGGATTTGTGTCCAGGCTCCTGGAACTGCTTCCTGGCTTGGCCCTCTGGATCGATCCCCTTCGGGACCTCCGGGTTGACATGGCCTCGTGGAGGGCTGCCCGGGCTCTTCTGCCCCGGCCAGGGTCAGCCGCCACCCAGTTCTGCTCGGAGGGGTCACTGGGGACCGATCCAGAGGGCCAGGTCAGGCAGCAGTTCCAGGAGCCCGGCCACAAATTCCGGTTCACCCCGGTGACTGGCATGTTCAAAAGTGGCAGGCTTGGTGGGAGATCGCGGGTGTGTGCTGCCCAGTGGTGGTGCCTATTCGTTAGGTCTGTGCCCATCAAGTGAAGTGGCTGTCAAGAGTGGACTTTTGTAGGGGTCCCAAATATTGTTCATCCTTATCATTTCATGTGTGATAAAGGGCAAGGGAGAAGGAAGCTGAAGGACACTCATCTTTTGTGGCACAGCAACATGGTACTCCAAACGCAGGCTGCGATCGGAGTGGACTGTAGGTAGGGTCTGCATGGGATCGTAGAGACCAGATCCCAGGCTCCCATTGACTTCTGTGATGCAGTAGCACAACCCAGATTCTGCAATTTTGTTGTATATACATCATAGCTCATCTCTGTATACCATATTTTCCCCACATACAATGTACACCTTCTCCCCCCAAATCACCCCTCTCCCTCGGAATCGGGGTGTGTGTATTAAACTAGGGAGCTAGAAGCAGCCTGGTTTGGTCTCTGCTCCACAATGCAGCAGCTCTGGCATTACTCATCAGGCAGCGGAGGGAGTCAATGACCCATTTTTCTTCACAAATGTTAAAGGTCTTCACCCCTTGTTTATGGTCTTGATGCTCCATTAATGAAGCTAACCTTTCTTAGGGGAATTTCACAATCTGCTAGGATTATTGGTCTCTCCTATTTTACAGCTCTAGCTCTTTTCGAAATCAGAGGTCCACCCATGGAGACCAGTCTTCAGCAACAGGTAAAAGCTTTTAGTTAAACAGGAAAGGACTGTTAATAATGATCAAGATGTAGCTGCATCTCTCCTTCCCTAGAAGCAACTCCCCTGCCCCCTCCTCCCTCTTTCCCAGCTTCGGGGACAGAGTGCTTTGTACAACCTGCAAAGTGTATGCCGAATTTTCATGCCTCAACCTAGTGATCAAAGGGAAGCTGAAATGAGATCTGAGCCCTTGGAAAAATGGGTGCAGAGAAACACAGGAAGTTTTAAAATGTGTTTAATGATCTGCATGACATTTTAAATTATTTGATAGAGGTATTCTGTCCAGTCTGAGATATTCTGACATATGAAAGCTCAGTGTGGCCAAACTTTGAATGTGTCACTAGGGATCCTGGTTTTCTCTGATAAAAAAAAATCCCCAATTTTCAGATTTTTTAACCTGAAAATTGGGGATTTTTTTTTTTTAATCAGAGAAAACCAGGATCCCTGGTGATGTGATTGGAGTAAACCTAGAACAAGTCTCTCAAACTGATTGTGTTTGCCCTATATATCCAAGTACAGTGCAGACAATAAATTGATCTTCAGTGCTCATCCTCTTTAACAAATATAAATGTTATTGAAAGTAACTTTATACATAATTGATTCCTGCTCTCCAAAATGAGGGGGAAAGACCTGGGGGAGGGGACAACTGGGCAGTGATAGGGAGCTCAAATTGTTGCTTTCACTGTTTTGATTTGTTTGAAGGTTTTATTTGCCTTGCTGATTTCTGTGATTCCATAAAACTGTGTTTTATTTTAAGATTTCTCTTAAAAGGTTAACTTCCTTTCTCAGGTTGATTTCTCTAAAACCAGAGTAACTCCATCAACTTCTGTAGCTGCATTCTGGATTTATCATGGTACCATAATTTACAATATGCTTCCTGTTAATATTTGGTGAAACGATTTAAAAACTGGTTGAGGCATAGACCTGAGGTCCACATTGTTAGAGTTTCACTTTGCACATGATATAACTCTCTATATAGGCAGGCTCCTTCTTTCACTCCCACTGGAGCTCTAGGGCATTTGTACATGCCACGTTTTTTGCCCTTGCACTGCAATGGCATGACTTTTTGCATGAGCGGGATTTCCAGAGGCTTTAAAAGTCTTTCTGGTGCTTTAAACTAAAACTCCTTGGATGTAGTTTAGTTTGGCTCTCCAGGAATTAAAGCATCGCTTCCATGGATATGTTGCATGCAAACACAAAGGCACTCAAAGATGTGTAGTGAGCCTCTTTGTGGAGCTGTGCTGTAACTTTTTTGTAGTTCACCCCATCAAATTGCTGAGGCTTTCAAATTGCTTTTGCTTCTTTTTTGTTGTGCTGTGTGCTGGTTCCCTGCTCCTACAGCTGGGTGGCAAGGCATGGGGTGGGGGGCCCCGGGCTGGGGGGAGCAGTGCAGGGCCATCCTGCTCTCCTGCAGCACCATCCAGGGACCCGGCTTAATTCATTCAAGAACCTAGTACATGCAAAGACCGATGTGGTGCTCCAAAAGAAACAAGTTTATATTTTATAAACCTATTTAATTTAATGAGGATTAAACCGTACAACATGTACAGGTGCCTATAGATGAATACCCAGCAACAATTAGAGGCAGAAAGCAATCAGAATGCAAGACATTCACTCGCTCAAATTGTGATGTTACCCCACTATAGACACAGAATAACTCTATTGAGTTACCATGGATTTTCACTAAGGCAACTGACACCCAGTTATCATTCATTGCTTAAATTCTCCAATTATTCCAGCTGCTTTTTTGATTTCTCTCACCTTGAGAATTTTGAGATGTTAGACAAATATCTCACTGCAGCCTGAGTAAATCAGACTTTAAAAAGACACTCATATATAAAAGAACAATACTGCTGAAGTAATATATTTTGCGGTTGTGAGGTGGAGCCTATAAAAAGGAAATAAAGCCATATGAGTTTCTGATATAGAAAATTAAGTCGTGACAGTGATGGAAAATGGATCTATTGTTCTTGCTCATGTATTTAGAGCTACACTGTGTCACACAGCAAAGTTCTGGTCTTAACATCATCCTAAATCTAGCTCCCTTCCCCTTAACTGTGCATTGCAGTCACCCCTTTCTGTTCCCACGAAATCTGATGTAGTTTCTCCTGCAAGCTGCAAACCAGCAAACTGCTTGCTGGCATTTGAATCCTGCAACATGTGACTTCTTAGCATTGCTCACCCTATGCAATAGAGTATCTATGCATCTAGGAATCCACTTGGACAATATATATATCATGAGACATACATACTACTGTTCTTGAAGTTGGCAAAGGAACTTTTTAGCTCGATACTCACATGTAAGTCTTTGCTCTGTTGTGCTTGGTGGGTTTCAATCTTTTCCCTGTAACTCTGCAGACAGAAAAAGTTTCCAGTTACTCTCTCCTGTCAGCTACTATTTTGCTCTCTTCTTGAAGAAATTCCATTTTCTGTGCAATTTGAGGGATTGAAAGTAGCACAGGGTGCTTGTTTATCCATGCAATTGCTACTGCACAATTACCTTCATTATATCTTGCTTTTTCAGACTGGTTATTGTGAAACATTTATTCAGCCAACTCTGCAGGAGAGTGTTTTTAAGGAATTCCTGCATCCTACTACAATAGGGGAGAGCAGCCAAATTCTCAGCTGGGGTGAGTGAGCCCAGCTTGATTGAAGTCAGTTAATTTCTGCTCCAATATATCTAAGCTCATGTTGCTAGATAGTAAGTACAGGGTACATACTGGCAATAGAAAGGTAGTGCAAGAATTTGCACACATGCTATCCCATGTAGGACAAGGCTTGTAATACTTGTATTATTCTTGCTAGAAACAAGGCATTTATCATAGCTAAATGCCTTTTTAAAGCACTCAGTTAAATGGAACCTGAAAAATAGAGCTCCTGTGTAAGGATCCAACATTCATTAAATCCATCCCCATTTCAGTGTTCAGAGGTCTGTCTCTGACTATGTTATCTCTGGACTCATAATCACATTAACCTCATATCATTTTGTATTGGTCATTTTTCATTTGCAAAATTAAAAGGCAGTAAATAGAAGAGACTAGAGAGAGTCAGTGTATTTCTCAATGGCATAGGCAGTTGGGTTGATAAGTGCAATTATCCTGGTTGGCAGAAAACTGGTGGCAATTAATATGCCAGTGCCATTCCCTAAACTCTGTTTTTGACTTGAATCTGCTTTATTTACTTTCATTTAAGAGGTACTTAAAAAAAAAAACCCAACTATTTTTATTTTCCTTTCAGGAGGAAAAAAAGCACTTGCAGATAAATAAGTATGTTCAAACCCAGGGAACAGCACAGGCTGCTGTACATTAAAACAAACAGACAAACTCTTCTTACCTTCCAGGTGAGTGCAGTGAGGCAGCTCTTGCTGTGCACTCCAGGGTTATCTATTCCAGCAGGAGGGCAGAGTCGAGGTAGTGGGAAAGGACAAGTGCCCCGCTGGTTTATATAGCCTTGAAGAGCTCCCAGTCATAATACAGCTAATTAAAGCACTTTCTTTTTTCCCTCCACCCTCCCATGTTGAAACCATGTTGCAGGCCACTTGACTCCCTCACCTTTTGTCTGCCTTTGTCCTTGGTTGCCTGCCAAATGTCTTGCCAAATGCCATCTTTCTTCCTGCTTTTCTTTGGTTCCACTAAACCAATTTCCCCCTCCCCGGGTCACTTAAGTGTTAAAACTTTGCCATTTAAGCCACAGAAGGGGGCTCTCCGCGAGTCTGAGCTGGGCATGCCTGTGATAACGTGGCATCCAGGAAATAAATGACCACCCACCGAAAGCGTCACACGACATGTTGAGGTGGAGGGTTTCTTAATAGGACCAACTACATCCCCTAGAAACTGAGAAGGCTCCAGAGACTGTACCTTGTTTCCTTACAATATTTGGGTCTGGATTTGACTCTAGCCCCTACGCCCAAATCCTGAGGCTGTCTGGAAGTGTGTGGGGCTCATCTTGGCTACTCTGCGGCAATCTCTCTTAACAAGCTGAACTTCTGCTCTGGGGGCTCTCTCATGAGCAGTTTTTTAACAAGTTACTTGAGAAATTCAAGTTATTTTTTTCTACCTGGGCCCCCTGGACTGTGGGAAGAATCTGGCACGATACAATTCTGGCATATTTGAGAAGTTTATAAGGCAAACCTGCATAGTTGTGACAGGCAGAGAGAAGGTATGGAGGGAGAGTCTTGGAAGGGTGAACAGTTTGAGAAAGGGCAGAGGAAACCCCGTGACCTTAGCTTTTTTTACATGGACTTAAAACACAGTTTGATATCAGTTAAGGCCTTCAGAGACTAGTGTGAGGAACACAGGCCATGAGATTTCACCTGTGGTTTCAGCCTGGAGACAAAGGGCTGGGAATTGAAGTAGAACTCGTTAGGTTTTTGTGAGCATACGGACTCAGGCTCTGCATTAACTGAAGTCCATTAAGGTGCCCATCCCTGCACCAGCTAAACACTGATTGCATGGAGCATATTCTGAAGAAGACCTTTTTGAGGGCATTCACTTTCTTCAGAGCTGGCCCAGGGTAGCAAGAGTCTGTGCTGGGACTCTGACATCACGGTAATTTGTCACAAATCTCACAGGCGCCAGCCACCCTTTGGGACCCAGCCAAACTCTAATGTCCCATAGTATATGGTATGCAAGATAAGCAGAGGTTACCCTGGGAGGCTATTTTGATCTTGCTGTTATTTACCTTCCTTCTCTAGTTATGATTCACCGGAAGGAGAAAGTTTAACTGGGATTTAGGAGGATGAATTTTGTATACACAGAGCTTTCTCATGATTCCTCGAGGCCAAGACGTGTCTTGAAAGCTGGACTTGTAGCCACTTTTGCCGTCCTCACATTTTGGGTCTGTTCAGCTAATTTGGTGAATACACACAGCTTCTTTATTACTCTGATATTTGCACTGCCTAGGACCCACTGGGCACTGCATGCAGATAGGCCTAGGGGGAGTCCAGTAATGCTACAACCCTTTTCCCCAGCTCTGCTTTCCCAATCCCATAGACTACCATCAAAGGACACTGAAAGCTGGGGGTTTTGAGAGCAAAACCAGGAGGAAAGGCACTTTTCTACAACACGTTCAGGACTATTCTAGTGAAGGTCATCCAGACCCTAATCTAAGGAGCCCAATTGATATTGGGCTCAATATGACCTGGCCCTACAATCCTTTTGTGCTTTCAACGGATGGTCATTTATTACTGTGGCCAGTTGTGGCATTTATGTTTTAAAGAAGATCTTGGCAAAGTGGAAAAGAGCAACAGCTTGGATTCAAGTTCAGGAGAATACACCTTATAGTGACCCCCTCTTCAGCTCGTCAAAGAGAAAGTTAATGGGTAACCTGACTGCCGTTCAGCAGTACATGGATTTCTGATAATAGGCTGCTAATCCATGTAGAAGGCAAAGGGATAATGAGATCCCATGAGCTGAACTTAGCACATTCAGACCAGGTAACAGGCTCAAAATAAAGGCAATTAGCCATTGGAAGAACATGCCGAAGGATTCACCCCATGTAGAAGGCAAAGGGATAATGAGATCCCGTGAGCTGAACTTAGCACATTCAGACCAGATAACAGGCTCAAAATAAAGGCAATTCGCCATTGGAAGAACATGCCGAAGGATTCACTGTCATGTCACGTGGAGTCCTGAAAACAAGACTGCATGGCTTGCAAAATGATATGGTTTCACTCAAGCAGAAGTGCTGAGCTTGATGCAGGAATGTCGTAGTGCTAGAGCCACAGAGAGATGTTGGCTCAGTTCTCAGCATTGCAGTGTTTCATGTTTAGGTGCCTGGCTCCTAGGATGGACTCCACAGCCCTGAATGAGGTGCCTATGCTCCTTAGCCAACCCAGTTGGGAATCCGGAGTGGGATTCACAAAAGTTAGAACCCTGCCCAAGGGGCTGCCTAAACTATCCAATGGGAAATGCAAAAGAGGAGAGTGTGGCTTAAACTCACTACTCATGGGAACTCAGGTACCTGACTCAGGACTGCAGGGAGGCACCTCTATCCTAGTGAGGATGCAGCCTGTAACCCTCCCCTGGACGGCAGCTATTAAGTAATTATTTTGCAAATGGAGTCGAGTGGTGGGCTTTGCTTTTCTTTTAAAACACATTTTCCCATGTCCTTTATCCGACAGTGATTAGAGCAGTCACAAAGGAAGGGGGACAACTGGGCTAGAGTCTCTCCTTAGGCTGAGGAGCTTCAAGTCATCATTTTCTACCTTCCAGAAGAGTTCCCTAATCACGAGGCTGTAGGCTGTTTTGAGGTGGTGTGGTGGCTGGGGGGCACATCCCTTCATTTTCCTCTGGTTGCACCTGCTCCATTTACCAGAAGAGCCTCCATTCCTTTTGCCAGAGCTTAGGTCCCTTAGTTGGGCACAAGGACCCTTCTCCAAGGCTCAGTACCTTTCTCCAAGGACAGTTTATGCATTTGACATTAAATAGTCACTGAATGAATGATGTAAACAGCTCCCAGAGAAACTTCTACTCCCCAAGGCAACTTGAACTCACATGTTTCACTTCCTAGGGAAGTAAATGTCCTTCATCACCAACCTGTTCTGGGAGTGGGCCTCTCCCTTGCTCCTGTTGAAGCTATTCTATTGGATTTGGGTTTGGAGTCTACTTCTCAGCTCTTTCAGGTCAGAGACCTAATTCCTAGGTTAGAGAGGCTCTCTCTCTCTCCCTTTCCCTATGAAGATTTAATCTAGATGTGCAAAGTGGAACAGCTCCTACAGGAAGGACTCCTCATCTCAAGATTAGTGACAAAGAGCACTTTCCTGAGAGGGGACTCACAAGTTCAAGTTTCTCCCCAGGAGAGAAGGGAATTGACTGGATTTCCCACATCCTGGCTGAATGCTTTGGGTAAAAGCTCTGAACTGCTGGGTAAAAAGTAGGTGCACCAGTTCCCCTCTCTTGCTACTTGGTGACTTGAAAGATGCTTCCTGGGAGTGCCTGCTAGACCAGTTCCAAGGGGCGAGATGGGGGGAGGAATGACTGTCCTGTGCAGCACAACAAGGTTCAGATCAGAGGTGGGCAATTATGTGGGCTGGCGGGCCACTTAAGGAGTTTTGGTGAGTTGTTGCTGGCCGGAGGGGTGCGGGACTGACACGGCCCAACGTGGTGGTGGTAAGGGTGTGCTGACCTGGTCTGCTATGGGGCAGGGGGGAGGGAGGAAGAGCAATTGATCCTATGCAGGCCCGTCCATACCCACTGCTGGGGGTATTGGATGGGGCTGGTGGGTGGGTTTTTATGGAGATGGGACTGGGACCCCCGCAGGCAGGGTACACTCGGCTGGCTGGATGGGATGGGTCTGTAGGCAGGCAGGGAGAAGCATCTGGGAGTGAGATGGGCAGCCAGGGCCAGGGCCTGGATCATGGGGTGGTGACAGCCCCAATCTGCTTTGAGCAATGTGTTGGACTAGATGACCTCCTGATGTTCTTTCCAACCCTAATTTTCTATGATTCTGTGTATGGGATTTCACCATCTCCTGGTGTAGGTGGATGCTGAACAGGAGTTTTGAAGATCTAAATTTTGGAGTTAGGCACCTAAAGAGGGCTGCTAGATGTTCTGACCAATCTCCAAGGCACCTTACGTTCCTCAGAAGACAACCACTGTCTCTCCAACCTCTCAGTTCTAATCTTCAAAGGGAATTTACAAAATACCTTCCACAGACAAGCCTACGAACTTCAATTCATCAACCAACTGGATACAATAAATCATGGACTAAGAACTTGAATAGACATTGAACTTATGACAATATAACCTGCCTAACATCTGATTCCCCAGGTAAAACCTCCACTTTTTACCAGTTATTCTTATTCCTTTCCCCCTCACCCTCCTGTCGCTCATCCTTTGACTACAGCCACTTTCATTCCCCCTTCCCCGCCTCACCTGTTTCTCACCTACCGACCACCTCAATTTACATTTTAACTGACTGGCTTTTTTGTGATATGTACTGGCCTCTGGCTGCTTTACCACTCCATCCAGGAAGAGTACAGACCATCTGCAGATGCTTCCTCAGTTTGACCAAGAGTGTTTGTGCTCAAAAGCTTGCAAAGAAGAATTTTTCCAAGTGAGTTGGTCTAATAAAAGATATCAGGTTCACCCAAAGAACCATGTCTATCTAGGCAGAAATGGAGCACTGAAGTTAAAAGAAGCAATCCCAATTAACAGTGGCTGCCAACCCACTTAGGGGCCTATATTGAATAGTTATCACCATTTTGGTCAGAAGAGATCAATAGATATCTTGGTTGGGGTTGTTGGGCAGGCTTAGAAGCAATCCAGGCTGGTCTCCTATGTGGCCTATGCCTGCCTACATGATGTTGCAACCCAGATTAGCCTAGGAGGCACACAAACTCTGCCTAAATTCCTGACACCTCCGATGGAGATGTTCCATGATGGGTGACTGAAGGTGACAGCATGC